AACTCTTTCTTCCATTTTGTATTTTTGGGTAAGAATAAGAAGCACTTCATCCGGTACTTAGTGTCTTTCATTCCAACACAAGAAAACATTTTTGGAATCTGCATCTGAAATAGCATTTAGATGTATGTACACTGTTTAATATAGGCCTATCTCATAGGGGACATGGATGCCTTTAACCTGCAGTTACAGATGGATAAATAATGTTTTGTTTTTAACATAAAACGTTGAATAATGATATTTGAAATAATTTAAAACATGAAAAAAAAATGTCGAAATGTGAAATTAAAACCCCCAGTAGATGAGAGCAGTTTTAATAGACTAATAAATCAACGTGCGTGCACTCTGTGTGTGATTTGGTGATATAACGTTAGCCTACTTGATAATGTCAGATCGCACATCATTAAAACAACACTTACCATATTACCGCAGAAGATATACTGTATATCGCACACCCCAGATTCGACTTGAGTGGAAAATGAAATCACCCGCGGTTGTGCGCACACTTATTTGCACATGAGCAAAGGTGTTTTTTAGGAGTCTAACTTACAAGAGTCTAAATACTCCCAAAAAATACTTAAGTACTGTAACAAAGTATTATTACTCTGTTACATTACACCACTGCACACACACACACACACACACAGGTTTGTTTTTATGGTTTATGGGGACTCTCCATAGGCGTAATGGTTTTTCTACTGTACAAACCGTATATTCTATTGCCCTACACCAACCCTACCCCTAAACCTACCCCTTACAGGAAACTTTCTGCATTTTTAGATTTTCAAAAAAACTCATTCTGAATTATTTATAAGCCTTTTGAATTACGGGGACACTGAAAATGTCCTCATAAATCACCTTCTCGTTGTAATACCTATGTCATACCCATGTTATTATACAAATTTGTGTCCTCATAAACCGCATAAACATGCACACACACACACACACAATCAGACAGGAGCACACAACTTTAATATATGGAGAAACCTGATATTTCATATTTGTGTTACAGTAATAAGAAGCCAGTTGGAACAGATGTGACACTCAATGGATTTAAAGGGACAGCTCACCTAAAAATTAAAACTCATGAAAATAATTTATTCACCCTCTTTTTGTTCCAAACTCATATAACTCTCTTTCTATTGATTCTAGATGTGTATCATTTCATATATGTACCTTGTATATGTGGATGTGTCTTTACTTATTATTTATTTTCCCCAGAATTAGCCAATTCTGAAAAAAAAAAAAAAACAATAACAGCAACAAAAAACCACAACCATTTCTTGGGGAAAATTTGAGGTGTCTATAATTAAAAAATCTATAGAAACTATATTAAGAACAATTTTTGCATATACTGTATACTATGTATTTTAATTTTCATTTTAACCCTCTGGGGTCTGAGGGGGTTTATGCATGGTTAGTGAAAAAAGTATTTTTTAAGTCTAATATAAGGCCATAAAACACATACAGAACATTTGTTTGCAAGACTTTTGAGAAAATGATGTGGTAGAACATTTGTTCATAAGACTTTTGAGAACTGGATGTGGTAGACTAGAGTTTTTGCTACATAGGCCGCATTTACACTGCATGGTTCAAGTGGCCCAATTCAGATTTTTTCCTCCCATATGGCAAAGATCTGATATGGCCCACAAACGTGTAAGCAGGAAAACGCACATGGATATTCTCAGATCGGTTTTAGTCCTCATTCATATGTGGAAATAAATATGAATTGGATACGTGCAGTTGCACCTGCCCTGTAAGTGCACAGATCGGATATTACTGTTAATGCGAGTTGCATGTCAAATGTTTTTGAAACAGCTCGTGGTGCAGATATATCTATTACAAATGAAACATCTCTAGTTGACTAGCAGAGTATTAATTTTGTTCGTTTGTGTTAAGTAAGAGGCGATCTGGCGCTGAAATGTGTTGCTTTTAAAATCATGCTGAGTGCTCATTGCCGCTGTTATCAGTGATGGTGGCCTGTGCACATACGAGCGCTTCAATCTATTGCTAACTGTTGTGGAGACTCTCTATTCATTCAGGTGAAATCACAAAATAAGATGCACAAAAACATGTCCCTGCTCTTGATATACAATCACTGATGAACACATTTGGTTTTAATGAGGAAAAAAACTATACGAGGGCAGATTAGAACCCAGAACCGCTAATATGCATAGCACAAGTTCAACCGCTAAACCCCTGGATGTTTACAGTGGATCTGTGTATATAATCACTGTCGTGAAGTATCAGTTGTAATTAATGATTTTGATGTAAGGATGAAACTATCATATTAAAAAAGTTCCTATGAGTTCTGTCAATAAGTTAAAATCATTGCATTCATATTCGGGATTCATCTGCTTTTCATAGTATGCTTTGTTAATAAAGTGTGTGCAGAGTTTGGTCACTCTCTAATGCATTGAGCCACGTTAAGCGTTGTTTAAGTTAAGCCCGTGTAGTCTAAATGCAGATATCGGATATGGGTTACTTTTAAAAGGTATAAGCGGTTCATCAAAAATATCGGATATAGTCCAAAAAATCTGATCTGGGCATCCAGATTTGCAGTGTAAATGCGGCCAAAATGATGTGAAAAATCATACTGCTCGCTCATTCACAGAAAACTATATATTGATCTAACTTTTGTAAAACATGTTTTGTGTTAGAAAGGCTGTATGCGAGGGAGTGACAATGACCATGAATATTTATGTGATTCGCACCTTAGAGACAAAGGACCCTCCCCTAATGGCACATCAGAGTGGCCACAGTTCTTACACTGTTTTGATTGTATGCAGCAACGCTGCATTGTTTTGACAATACGAATGTACACATATTTGTCATGCAAATAAAGCACCTAAACTGTGAGAATGTGACTGTGAGGCAGGTAAGAAAAAATATGAGATTAAAATTATTTTTTGTTGTTTGTTTTTATTGTATCGATTTTATTTACAACACAATATAATCAAAATATACATAATGAAGGTCAAAGTTACATTATTGAGCACACTGATCTAAACACAGAGACTTGAACAGACTTTGTGCTATTCTGAAAACAGATCCTGTTCAACTGTTGAAACAAGTAAACCATACCTGCTATTTCCAAGGTGTTTGCTGCTTCTTTTCCATGCATTCAAGAAAAAAAAAAGCCCCATCATGGAGCTTATTTTACCACGTTCATGAAGAATATCACACCAATGTAGTTGAACATCTGATGTTGGTACATCACTTTCAGACATAAACAGTTTGAAGAGACTCGTGAGAAAATCAGCAGGACTCATCTGCGCAAAAAACAAAAACCAAAACAGTGAGCATGTTGATATCAGAAGCAACTATATTATTACATTAGCAATCATTAATACTGCCCACTCATAACAAAAAAACATGCTTTTGTAGTCATAGACACATATGATCTGTATGTATTATCAAACAGTACAAAAAGGACATTTTATATCAGAGAAACTAAATTATTAACATGCATCATGTTACAGTGTAAACACTCATATTACTTTGTATTGTTACTATCGTATTGTGTTTTACATCATAGAGCATAAAAACATCCTCACCTCATACAACATTTAGATGCAATGAAATATTTCAAAATGTTGCACTCGATTTCACACATTTTACTCTGGGATTATAGTTTGGGAAAAGTCCAACTAGTAAAATGTGTACAAGTTTATGCCACAATAACACTAATATAAGTAAGAATAAATGACTTACTCATCAGAATGATCTCCTCCACTGCATCAAGCGCGCGTCACATCACATTCTTCTTCTGAGGTAAATACAAGGCTTATTCCTCTCTGCGCGTCTTCTTCCAAAAATGAAAAGTTGCTGCTTTGTTTACGGAGGTGAGGGGGGTGTTTACATGTTCGCATATCTCACGTCGATGATTACGGTATGAATAGCACGCGCTGCACGTGGGTGTGACCACATAACAGATAATGAGCTCAGACGGGAAAGACTGTACCTT